AAAAGGAGAAATATCTTCCCATTTGTCTCCCCAAACGAAACTACTATTTAGCTTCCTGCAATTTCCTTCTGGAAATTTCTGCATATATATATAGAGCCATATATGTGTTACATCTGAAGAAATGGTCTTTTTAGAAATTCATTCAAAGGGGTATATCGTTTCCACTCTTTCTGCACTCTGCTTTTTTCTCTCATAAAACATCTACTGGCCAGACATGGTGGCTCACGCCTGTGATCCTAGCACTTTGGGAGGCTGAGGTGGGTGGATCACCTGAGGTCAGGAGTTTGAGACCAGCCTGACTAACATGGAGAAACCCCGTCTCTACTAAAAATACAAAATTAGCCAGGTGTGGTGGCACATGCCTCTAATCCCAGCTACTTTGGAGGCTGAGACAGGAGAATCACTTGAACCGGGAGGCGGTGGTTGCAGTGAGCCAAGATTGCATCATTGCACTCCAGCCTGGGCAACGACAGCAAAACTCGGTCTCCAAAAAAAAAGAAAAAAAAAAACTGAAATGAAAAAAACAAACAAAAAAACCCACATCTACTTATATCCTCTCTCCTTCCTGCCCTACCTTTGGAAGCTGAGCCTGCACCCAGCTCCCAGGTTTGGCTCATTTCCTGCTCTCTTCTCAGGGGTAGGAGAGGGCAGCTCCTACCCCGAGGCCTCACCTTGGTGCCCACTCCGGGCAGGTTGCAGAGGGCCTTGTGGGCCTCCTCATAGGAGGCCTCTCGTAGCTGCTGCAGCCAGGCTAGCCCACCCTGTTCTTCCAGGATGGCTCGGGCACTGGCACTCACGTAGCGGGCACGGTAGCCCAGGCCCAGCTTCCTGAGGTGAGCCTCCACATCTGGCCCTGTGAGGAGTGAGGAGAGCAGGCATCAGGCATCTTCAAGTTCTTTCTGTCCTTGGGCTAGTATGTGAGCCCTCCACCTCACAGGAGTGCTTTTCCCAGGTACTCCTCCCACCTCCCACACTCTATGGGATAGTGGACACTTTTATGTGCAAGGGAAAATAAGGCATGGGTTCTGTCCCTCTACAAATGTTTTCTGAGCACCTGCTATGAATTGGCCACTGTTCTAGTCCAGGTCTAGTCCAGGGTCTGAGGACTTGCTGCCCTGGAGGAGCTCCCCAACTGAGTTCCTTAACCTTTCCAAAAAAGTGTTCACACTCATGATCTAAAAAAATAACCACAATCTAGCAACAGCTTCTATGATCAAGTGCTGGGCATCAAGCACTGGCAACATGCTTCAGATACATTATCATGCTACGTTTTCCAAGAACCCCATGGACAGTACTGCTGTTTTCCCATTTTACAGGTGCAGAAAATAAGGGCTTACAAGAGGTTAACTTACTTAAGAAAGGACAAGGTGGAGATAAGATCTTGCACTTAGGTCTGGGACACCAACATCTGTGCTTTTTCTTTTCTTTCTTTCTTTTTTTTTTTTTTCAGACAGGGTCTCCCTCTGTCACCCAGGTTGGAATGCAGTGGCATGATCTCAGTTCACTGCAGCCTCAACCTCCTAGGTTCAAGCGATCCTCCCACCTCAGCCTCCCGAGTAGCAGAAACTACAGGCTTGTACCACCATGCCTGCCTAATTTTATTTATTTTTTATAGAGAAGAGGTCTCACTATGTTGCCCAGGCTGGTCTCAAACTCCTGGGCTCAAGCCATCCTCCTGCCTTGGCCTCTCAAAGTGCTGAAACTACAGACATGAGCTACCACACCTGGCTAATGCCAGTGCTCTTAACCCATTACACTACACTACCTCATGATTGCTTTATTCACCCCCCAAACCCTTCTAGATAGAAACTGTTATTCCCATTCTATGAACAAGCTCAGAGAAACCTGGAGAGGTGAATGACTTTCTTGAGGTCTTATGACTAAGCCAGGGGCTGAGACTCAAGAATAGGTTTCTTTTTGTTTGTTTGTTTGAGATGGAGTCTGGCTCTGTCACCCAGGCTGAAGTGCAGTGGCATGATCTTGGTTCACTGCAGCCTCCTGCTCCCAGGTTCAAGTAATTCTCCTGCCTCACCCTCCTGAGTAGCTGGGATTATAGGTACCTTCCACTACACCCATCTAATTTTTGTATTTTTAGTAGAGATGGGGTTTTACCATGTTGGCCAGGCTGGTCTTGAACTCCTGACCTTAGATGATCTGCCTGCCTCAACCTGCCAAAATATAGGGATTACAGGCATGAGCCACCACGCCTGGCCAGGAATGGGTTTCTAAGCACCAAAAACATTCTCCTTTTTTGAGGCAAGCTGTCTCTTTGTCATGCAGTTCCCAAGTACTTGTCCTAGTTTGGTTCTCACATCTGCCAACTGAAACACTTGTCTCCATAAAATATTTGTCTTACAGGGCTGCTGTGAAGAACACAAGTGTTCTTGGATGTAAAACTGTCCGGTTCACTACAATGACACCAACTTGAATTACACATACATTTCCTATGTGCCAAATACTGTGTTGGGTTCAGTATGTATATTCCTCATGACAACTCCAATAATAGCATAGGTAGGTGCCATTATTATTCCATTTCATAGATGAAAAAACTTTAGTACAAAGATGCTAAATAACGTGCCCAAGTGAGAGTTGGGGTTCAGAACCAGGCATGGGCCTGTCCCCAGAATGCATGCTTTTAGGCCCAAACTACTGTACATTGTACACAGATGTATTTCTGATGAGGCATTGAACCCATTGGGCAAAAGGCACAGACCAGTGAGGTGCTGACATTTTAGGGATGCCTAGGGAGGAGGAGTAACTGGGGCTGATCAGACCAGGCAGGGCAGTTCTGGATGGGGGAAATGTTTGGGAAATGTTTACCATCTCAGGAAGCCTTGAGATGGTAACCAGGGGAGAAATGAACAGATCCTGGAAGCTGATGGAGGGCCTAGGAACAGGGGACCTACCTACTCACCAGCCAGGGCCTGCAGGCTGGGGAAGCCATGGTAGGTGACATCATCAAGCTGGATGAGCCGAGGTCCAAAGGCCTGGCACAGCCGCTCCACCATACCAGTGATGCGGGCGATATTGTTGTTGGAGGAACAGATAAAAGAGAAAAGGCACTCGATGGGGTCTTGTCGCAGCAGTCGCACACCTGGAGACCAGAAATGCAGGGGGTAAGAGAGATACCTGCTGTTGGGCGTGGCCTCTTCCCACCCACAGGCAAGATCCTAGGTACCAAAGCTCCAGGGGGATCCCAGGAGAATGATGGTCAGCACTGTTACAGAAAGTAACACCAGACCTCTCATTCCTCACAGCGTCTTGTGAGGGCTGAGTTACCATCCCATTCCACAGATAAAGAGGCCACAATGTAAGCTCCATGAGGACCGGCATTTGGGTCCGTTTTGTTCATGGGTGTATCCCCAGTTACACAGCAGATGCTTTGTATATATTTACAGCATGAATGAAGTCACTTGCCCGAGGTCTCACAACCAGGAAAGGGCTCAAAATCCTTGTCACTTCACTGTGGTGATTAGCAGGATAATAATGGTAATACTAATTACCATGTGCCTGGCATTATTCTGAGCACTTTATATGTATTAGCTCCTTAAATCCTCATAAAAACCTATGAAGTAGATAAAATCCCTACTTTACAGATGGTAAAACTGAGTCATAGAGAAGTAACTTATGTCCAAGAACCCTAGCCTCAGCCCAGGTCCTGTACTTACCTTGGAATTTCTGAGCCACCTCTTGGAAGTGGGAGTCCACAGAACCCCAGTGGTGATACAGTTGAGCCATGGTGACATCTAGCTGGAAGTACTTGCACACGGCCTCCAGCTCATCTGGTGTGGGCCTGCCAGCCCGGCTTTTGTCTCCTCGGTACACGGTGCAGTGGAGCTGCTCCTCAGTCTGAGTTAGCGTCCATACTTGATCCGCCAGTACACCACTCCAGTGTGCAGGGCTTTGCTCCCTCCACCTGAGCCCCAGGCACACAACAGCCCTGGCACTCAATTTCCTTTCTTGCACCCTTTGGGGTCCCTCCCATCCTACAATCGCTCCAGGTACAAAACTGATGTACTAATTGCAAAGTAAAAATGCTATCTTCCAGCCTGGGCAACATGGCGAAACCTCACCTCTACAAAAAATACAAAAATTTACCCGGGCATGGCACACACCTACAGTCCCAGCTACTGGGGAGGCTGAGCCCGGGGGGTCGAGGCTGCAATGAGCCTCTCTGCACTCCAGCTTGGGCGACAGAGACCCTGTCTCAAAAAAAGAAAAAGAAGTGCTATTATCCTCTACATCGGTTATACCGCTTGATCCTTACAATATCACTGCACAGACATATTAAAGGTAACAGGCTAGCCACCCTTGCTTGTTTCCTCTTTTACCCCGGGGTTTCTTCCATCACCCCCCACACTCCTTTGTACCCCATGCCGGGTAGAGCTGAGGCGGCAGGAGCCAGTCCCAGGGGACGGACCTCCCAGGTGCAGTTACTCACCGGAAGGACTGTCCAGAAGGCAGAACCAGGTCCAGGCGCAGCTCAGAGCTAGGGCACGGGATGGAAGCCCACAGAGCAGGGGCAGAGGCTAGAGTACGATGCCCCAAGCGCCCGGGCAGAATCCCGCGAGCCGGCATTTCCACAGCAGGCACCGCCTCCTAATGGCCCCGCCCACTCAGAACCGACCTAGTCCCCGCCCAAAAATCCCGCCCAGACAAGGACCACGCCCCTTAAGGCCTCACCCAAAGGGTGCTGTTTAACAACCTTCCCTATTTCACTTATTCCTCCATCTCCGGCAGGCCCCGCCCTTTGCGAGTTACGGAAGCCCCGCTTCCTGACCCAATCCTTCGGCTTTCCTGAGGTGCAGGTCCCGCCCCCTCCTTCCGACGCATCGTCTCCCGCCCCCACGGACTCTGGAAGCTCAGAGCTGTGTTCTTCTAGGTTCTCCAGGGGCCGCCTCGTCACCACCGGAAGTAGGGCTCAAGCACCGCTTATTTGACCTAGAGGTAGCCAATCCGAGGAGGAGGTGGGAGACGCCAATGAGAAATCGGGGTGGGCGGGCCGTTCGAAGGGCCCGCGCGGTTGGCGCGAACTGGGCTGCCTGCCCGCTGTTGGCCTTTCCCACTCCGGGATTGTCTGCAGTCGGGGCGCTAACGAGTTCTATCCGGCGCCCCGCGGTTCCTCAGGGCTGTCAGTCCTCAGAGCCACGTCCTTCCCTAACCCATCCTCAGAGGGCCGTTCTCCCCCTAGCCTCTCCAGTCTCCGGCGTTCGCCCTCCTCGGGCCGCCTCCCTCAAACCCTGTCTTCACAAAGAACCGGAGCGAACACAACTCCGGCCCCACAGCCCTCGGGAAGTATCTCCGGGGTATTCTTCAGTGCCTGCCCGCTAAGCTCATCCCCTTCAAGCCCTTTTGGGCGTCCTGTGAGACCTCAGGACTTCAGAGGCGTCCCTCGGATCGTCCCGCCTGCCGCCACAGCTGCTGCCTGCCTTCCTGGGCATTCCTTCTATACTCCATCTGCTCATGCCCTCCTGGGAATGGGGCCTGTGACGATAGTTTGTCTGGGCTTGGGCCCAGAAGCCCATCAGGTTGAGTCCCAAGTCCCAGTGTGTGGCCCTGAGGTAGCCTGCCTCGTCCAGCCGCCTGGAACAGGAGGATGGATTATTAAAAATTTAGTCTTTCCTTCTGGAGGAAGATGTGAAAAAGGAGCCAGGAGACACGAACTTTAATCTGGGCCATTCTCACTTTGTAGCATAGGGATCTGGGGTTGCTGTATCTGAACTATCAGACTGCAAGTTCTTTTTTATTTTTGAGATGGACTCTCGCTCGGTCGCCAGGCTGAAGTGCAATGGCAGCATCTCGGCTCAATGCAACCTCCACCTCCTGGGTTCAAGCAATTCTGCCTCAGTTTCCCGAGTAGCTGGGATTACAGGTGCGTGCTACTACGCCAGCCAGTTTTTGTAGTTTTAGTAGTGACGGGGTTTCACCATGTTGGCCAAGATGGTCTTGATCCTGACCTCGTGATCTGCCCGCCTCGGCCTCCCAAAATGCTGGGATTACAGGAGTGAGCCACTGTGCCCGACCGAGACTGCAAGTTCTTGAAGGGCAACATCTGCAGCGGACTGACCCTAGTGTGCCAGGCAGAGACCTAGCAGCGTGCACCGTGAGCATGGAATCAACATCAGACCAATGTCGTCATTGCCTCAGTGCCACTCCTCAGTGGCTGCAAGGCCTGGGCCACCCTCTCTTCCTGTGACTGTTCCTATCTGTAAGCATGCCACCCACAGGTGCCTGGCACTTGGAAGGCATTCCTTCAATAAATGTCGGTGGAGTTGGGAAAGAAAGTGCCAAGGTTGGGGGTGAGCAAAGAGCAACTCTCTCCATCTCTGCTGTCTCTGATTAAGCAGTGGGGAAGGTCTCAGCTGTAGTGACACTGAAACATTTGGGCTATGCCACTGGCAAAGGACTTGAGGCCTCTTGAGGCCCAAGAAGGAAATTGACAGCTGACTCTTTCCCTGGTAGTTCAACATACTGGTTCAAGAGCCAGCTTTACAAACAGACCTGGATTCCAATTCTAGCTCTGTAACTTCCTAGTTGTAGGAACTTAGGCAAGGTAATTTTTCAAAACCTCAGCATCTTTGTGGAGATAACCAGCTTATTATTAAACTACCGTATAGTTATTGCAAGGATTACATAAATCTGTGTCCAAAGGTGCTTAGCATAGGGCCTGCTACTCACTCCATGCATGGGCAATGGGAGCTTTTATCTCTTTGCCGTGTCTTATAAATGTAGCATGCACAGCAGTCAGCAACCACTTGAGCCCAATTATGTGTCATCCCTGGGGCACAGAGCCTCCCTTTGTATCCCTTTGCCCTGGCAGGAGGCAAAAACAAAGAACTCTAAATAGACAGTTTATTTTCTAAGAATCAATATATTTTCTTCCTTTGAAATAAATACAAACCAGTTTGAAAGGTGGGGGAATCTATGGGAAAGAGAAGGGAAATGGGGACAGGCCCCAGTATTTTTTTTTTTTTTTTTTTTAGTACCAAATGACTCTGGCGCGACCCGGAAACGCAGTTACAAATGAGAATAATTTAAATTCTCCGATAATTACAATATTTACAACAGCAGGGGAGGGAGTCACCTAGTGCCCCTCTTCCAGGCTGGACAGATGCCCGCTCACCTCACCACCGGTAGGGGCCTCAGGCCTCTAGGCAGTTATGGATTCTCCTGGCATGAGCAGGTGAAGGTGGTGGGAAGGCCTGTTTTATGCAGCATCCAAACTTTGGCCCACCACCCACCCTCCAATGCCGTGAGGTCTCTGGAGCTTTTTCTGACCTGTGGGCCCTCCCTCTTCTTGCGCTGAACTGCCATTGGCCCTTGGAGTGTTCTGTACAGTCCAGCTGCACTTAGGGCAGGAGGGACCTCCCCCACCCAGCTTCCCCTGAGACTGGCCCCAAGACCAGAAATGAGTCAGTGCAGAGGCTGGTGCCACTCCAGGACAGTGAGCAAAGGGGAGGAGAGAGGTCACAGGGCACTGTAGGTTGGGCTGTGTTGGGCAGTATCAATCACTATCGCTGGTATCACTGCTCTGCTCGCCTTGTACCTTGCTGCGGTGCTGCAGAGCCCTGTGGTAGGCGATCTGTACTGACTTGCGGATGTTGGACTTGCGGCCCTCCAGCATCTTCTCCTTGTCTAGGTCCTGGTTCACACCCAGAGGAACCAGCTTGGTCCTGGGCAGCCACTGCCTACAGGACAAGGTGAAGATCAAATAAATCATCTCAGGGAGAACAAGCACCAGCCTTCCTCCTCTATTCACTCAAACACACCACCCAAGCACCCACTCTGGCCAGACTCTGTGATGGTCCCTGCCCTCAAAGGACTGTTCATGGTCTAGTGATGAAAGAGCCCAGTGGCAGTGGGAGGGTAATCACAGGATATTTATGGGTACAAAAAGGAGGTGCCCTGACCTCACCAGAAATAGCTACTCTGTGCCATAGGCTCCAGGCAGACTTTACTGACATTAAATACCCTCTGCAGATAATTAACAAAAAGACTACATGTGTAAATGTGACAGAACAGAGATTCAGAGCCTGAATGTTTATGCCTGCTAAATCCTCATTTTGTCACCGTGGACGCAGAGGTGGGAAAACTAAGTCTAGAAGCCATCTGAGGCTAGGTGGGAGCCACGTCTTTGTCATAGTCTCTGATGGTCCTTTGGTTTCCAGCTACAGCTGTTTGTCCGCTACTGCTCACTCAGCCTCTCAGACTCATGGTCAATACAATCCTTTGCTCAAAAAACTATTCTAAGTCCCTCCCCCGCTGATTTTTTTTTTTTTTTTTTTTTTTTTGGTGATAGCCCAGTCTTCTTGCTGCTGGAGTTTCTTGGCAGTCTGCCCCCATACCACACAGGGCTACATTTGTGGCTACTTACCAGGTTCGTTTGTTGTCAAAGAAGAGGACGAGGTAGAGATGCTCTCGGGCTTCCTGGGTCATCTGCTCCCCAAGTTTCAGCACCTCCAGTGGGGGCACAGGGATGGGAACCCCATGGTGAAACATACCTTCTCGGGGCATCTTTGGATCAATGATCTGAGGGTATAATAAGAGCCTAGTTTGGTTCAGTCCACTTCCTCCCAAGGCTTGCCCTCCCCAAGAACTTGAAAACTACTGAAGTGAGGACATGATAACCCAGAAAGGTTATCATGAAACTAGAATTGCAGTGCTGACCCTTGGCTTCTTTCTGCGCTAAATTATTTCAGAGTCCAAGGACCAAAGAGAAGGAAAAGGGAGAGATAGAGAAACTGGGTGGGAGCGTCTAAGTAGTACTCAAACTGTATCTGCCCACCAGTCTACCTTGCCAAGAAACTGTGCCCCACAGCTCAGCAGGGAATAGAAGTCTGCTGTGAATCTGTGTTCTGGGACTGGAAAGCAAGGGGCATGGTAAAAGAAGTGGAAGCGTACCAGAGCTGGGTATGACGGATACCCTCGGCATTTGGCCCACACGAGGTCGAGAGCATCCAGCGGGGAGTCCTCATCCTCTGACAGCCAACCAGCTCCCCGGCCCAGACTCTTCCTTACCACTTCACAGGAATGGGAGAGAGGGGGTGGATCAGCAGCTGGGGGGCCGGCGAGGCCCTGACACTGGGTCCCCAGCATCCCTGGCCTTGGGCAAGGGAACTTACTGCTGTGGCCCACGCCGCGGCCAGTGCCCACGGAGTAGGCCTCATTCTCAGTGCCTGAGGTATCCTCACTGCTGTCCTCTGGGAAAGTGCCCCGAGAAAAGGAAGGTTTGCCCCGGCCTTGTTTTGAGGGCGTTGTGCTGTAGACAAAACAATGGGAGCTCAGTTCAAAGGAGGAGAAGAATGGGAACATGGTATGTGCCCTCTGTTCTTTTAAACTCCCAGGGTCTGAGACTTTTGGAAAGCAGAGGCTATGAGAATTTCAAATTCAAACACCCACAGGGGCTAGGTTGGTGACCTGACTAAGGTGGGTTAGACGGAGCAGTGACAGGTAGGAGTGCATACTCTAATCATCACCTTAACCCAGGATGGTTCTCTCTGTTCCATTAATGGTAACACCGATTTATTTACTTTGCAGAGAACCTTAAGTTTGAGCCATCTTAATCTAGACTAAGATGGCTGCCACCCCACTTCCAACTTCTAGGGAAACCTAGAAAGGCCCGAGAGCCCTGGAAGGAAATCCCGAGGCTGGCCTTGATCTGCAGGGCTGGTACCTGGTCCGGTCTGAGGCAGCGCTGCTACTGCTACTGCTGCTGGACTCAGAGTCTGAGCTGCTCCGGGGAAGGCTGCAGTCATTACGGTATACCAAGAAACTCTTCTTCACTGGCTGGTTTCCGCTGCTGAAGCCATTGGCTGGTAAGTCTTGGTTGAAGGGAGGGGGAGGAGGGAAGGAACCGGTCAGGAAGATGTAGATCAGAGATGACATGCAGGGTAAAAAGGGACTTGGAGCTTGG